GATGAGAACATCTTCATCTCTGAAAGAGTGACCGCTGGCCTGTAGATGAGTGTAAACTGCAGAGTCCTGACCTGATGTTGTGCTGCATCTGTGCTGGCTCATTCTTTTTAAACCACTGGGACGTCATGTTTAGAGAATAAACGTCTCAGTTTCTCTGAAACTCCCGCCACATATGGAATGACAACTGGTTTGGGTCTGGGTTTAGGGTCTTCATTTTCAGCTGGTTGTTGGCTGGAATCCTGTTTGGGTTTCTTTCTGCTTTCAGAAAAGTCCAGATAGGATAACCACACTGCTCCAGAGCCTGTCTTGTGTGTGACTTCTCTTTCTCCCTGGCTCCTGTGTTTGTGGAGACACTATCTGCTCTGTGGTACAGAGTTCTGATGACTCCTAACTTTGGGTTTTGTAGTCTGGAGGATCTACTTGGACTAGACGTGTTTCTCAGTTGTCTTGGGCAGCAGGACCACATGGATGTTGGGCAGGACCCCTCATTGAGTGATGGACACTCCTCCCAGCAGCTTGTTCAGCTCCTCATCCTCACGCACGGCCAGCTGCAAGTGGCGAGGGATGATCCGGGTCTTCTTGTTGTCGCGAGCTGTGTTTCCCGCCAGCTCCAGGATCTCAGCAGTCAGGTACTCCAGCACTGCCGCCAGGTAGACCGGAGCTCCGACACTGACATGCTCGGCGTAGTTGCCCTTCCTCAGCAGCCTGTGGACACGGCCCACTGAGAACTGCAGTCCGGCTCTGGAAGAGCGGGTCTTGGCCATAGCTCTGGCTTTGCCACCGGTTTTTCCGTGCCCAGACATTTTTCAGTTTCAGCTTCAAACTCTCTCTGACAGAAGGAAGAAAGAAGTGAGGCGATGAGACGAATACAAGATGTGAGGTGGCTGTGGTGTAGTGGTAGAGCAGCCGGCTATGGGACCCGCAAGTCACAGGTTTGACTCCCCGCCATGCCCACATGCCGTTGTCCTTGGGCAATACACTTCACCCGCTTTGCTTACTGATGGTGGTCAGAGGGTCTGGTGGCACCTGTGTATGGCAGCCTTACCTCTGTCAGTGTGCCCCAGGGCAGCTGTGGCTACAATGTAGTTTGCCATCATCAGTGTGTGATTGTGAGTGTGAATGGGTGAATGTCTGTAAGTGTAAAGCACTTTGAATGTCCTGGATGGATCAAAGGCACTATATAAGTACAGTCTATTTACCATTTAACTTGTGTTCCAGTGGGTGATGGGAATCAAAATGCAAATACTGGTCTGTATGGGTGGGTTTGCGATACACGTCCATTTCCAACTGTCCTCCACCCGAAATCAAGACATCACAGTCCAGGAATGCCAACCTGCCATCTTTTCCATCCTTTCGTGTGAACTTTATATATTTATCAACAGAATTGATGTGATCAGTGAAATGTTGGACTTCCTGGGATTTAGTTTTAACCCAGATGTCATCAACATACCTGAACCAATGGCTCGGTGGTGTCCCTGTACATCAGAGCTCTCTTTTCCACCTCTTCCATGTACAGGTTTGCAACAATAGGGGAAACTGGGGAGGCCATAGCACACCCATATTTCTGCTTATAGTATTGCCCCCCCACCCCCCAAAATGTGAAATACACTCACCGGCCACTTTATTAGGTACACCTGTCCAACTGCTCGTTAACACTTAATTTCTAATCAGCCAATCACATGGCGGCAACTCAG